ACGATTCTGGCACTCATTATGTCTTGATCATTAACAATCCTCTTTAGTTTCATTTAATAGTGGACTACTTAAGCTATGGAATGTCGTTTCGAATGGCGCTATCAGTATTAACAAATACAAAACAACGAACAGGATTGGCTTTTATTGGATCATGTTCTCCTGATCTTCCATCGAAGTACGCGCGGTTCGTTTGTGCGATGAACTTACAGAAGATTAAGCTGCTGCTTTGCGCCTCTTGGACATTTTCAATTGCGCTTGACATGTCGACTCACATGTCAGCTTCCTATTTGGATACTTGGATCCGCCTATTTCACTGTGGACAAACTATCAATTTACACCTATTGGCTATTCCAATGTACGACAGTCATACCGGGGAAGCCATGTTCAACTCAATAATCCCCGTATTAAATGTGTTGTGCCCAGACTGGAAAGAAGTAATGCTGGGAGTGACAACTGACGGCGAACGGAAAATGACTGGTAGCAGCAAGGGAATAGCGACTCGTTTTCAGAAAGTGTGCTCAAGTGGGTTCATGCGTGTCTGGTGTGGTCTCCACCAGTTGGATCTGGTACTCCAGAAAGCTTTTAAAGCTGCAAGAAAGGGTCAATTTCACAGTTCAATGACATCGACAATTGCATATCTACGCCGTCAAGCAAAACTGATACGAACTATGAATTCGACCGCTCCTCTTCTTCAGGATACACGCTGGGAATCGATGCTCAAGTGCTGCACTTGGTTCAAAAGTAACCGCATAAAAATTGCAACGCATTTGGCAATGGAAAACCCAGCGTGCAAACCTCCTGATAAGTGGTGGCTGTGTTTGGCACTGATACAGTTACTTTCTAAGCGAGCTGCCATTACCTTTCGCAGTTTAGAAAGCTATACAGCTCTTGTTTCAGAGCAGGTTGAGGCATTAAAGCGGTTGTCCAGAAACTTGCTGTCTGTTTTCGGTGGTCGTGCAGTTTTAGATGCAGATCGCGTGATTTTGGTTCAGCTAGAAAGTACCCATGTATTTTCCGACGACAGAACAATGTTAGTGAGCCCAAATACCATTTTGGATTTACTTCTTGATGATGGAACCTTTACGATTCATATTCTCGACTAACTTGGACCAGATTCAGCTTTTGAATTGGTTAAGGACTTTGCTCTGGTAATTGCAAATTTGGTTGCTAGTGTGAACATCATTGAACCAGAACGGAACAACAAAAATGAACCGTTGGAAGGGAACACTCCCCCGGCGCAACCACGCGACTTGATTAAACTGAAGGGGAGATATATATCAGCTCTTATCAATTTACACCGTGATAGGTTGCATTCACAATGGAGTGAGGTGGAGATTGACATGATTGAGCAAGAGCATGCCGCTCTAACCGACCTTTATGCTTCGCAAGCCGAATTTCGACGTCAAATTGACGAGGCATCATCGGAACTTAAGACCGTGACAACTTTCGAAGATGCTTGGAAGGATGTATGCGGGAGATTTCAGATGCTACGTTGCTTTGCTGGAGGACTTGCGACTACATTTCCTGGTACATCTTCAGTTGAAAGCGGGTTTTCTGCTCTGAAAGTGGAAAAAAATCTTTTAAAAAGCAGGCTGACGAATTTCTCCCTTGAAGGAGCCTTACACTCTAAACAGTACGATCTGCTTGAGAGTTTAACAGGCCTCGAGATCAATTAAAAGTCTAGTAGCGCTCTAACAGACAAGAAATACGACACATTTGGATTAAGAATATCTCCCCGATGTACTTTAATACTACTTTTAGTATGGTGCCAGGTTGGTGCCATTTCCTGTGTCGTCGGAATGCCAGATTCAGGTCAAATCAGTCAAATTGGGCAAATGCCAGATTTGTAGATGCCTGATTACCGTAGATGAAAAGTACACTCGCTCACTTGGCACACGCAAACCCATGCTATCTGTACCATCAGCGCTCACTGCGTATATTCCACTGATGTGCGCTCATAAATTGAAACTGCAGTATCGAGTTAGCTCAACGCGCGACAAAAAGGTTGGTGTCTACATAGACACAAGCACGCGTGCGGTACTGAAGCCCATACAGGTGGCTTTCGCAAGTCGATGTGTCTGTACGCAGTGACCTGTCCATAATGGTCGAGAAAATGGTTAAAAGGTGCTCTCGCCGCGCACGTATAAATCGCTAGCAGACACGCGGTCAGCTAGCCTGTATATCAGCGGTATGACCGGTGCCCAGTGAGTAACGCGCCCGGTCATATAGACTGATACATCAGAAGCGTAAGCACAGTAAGCAAGCACGACGACTCAAATCTACCGAGAAAGCGACAGTGACCCGATGCATAGCTTTTGGCTATCCCGAACGCGTGGCATATACACTCATTAACGTCCTCGCGATATATGTGCGGACACATCAAATAGCACGTCGAGCTGATAAGTAGGCAGCGAAGTACTTCATTTAATGTACATCGACTACTATTCGATTCAAGTCTAAACGTCACTACGATTGAATATTCTGCTTACCGTCCATGAGGCTTTAAATGAGCGTCAAACATGTCGGAGCCAGTAAATGCTACTAGGAAAGGAGCTACGCCACGCTATCAGTCAGTAGCTTTGCAATTAAGCCAGTATGTAAGTCCATGGCGATCATCTATCATGGCAGTGGTAGAAGACGAAAATTATTAATGTCAATCCGATTAGTTAAAACCAAGTCAGTGAACTTCGAGCACACGCCCTTCAGTACTATCTGATATTAGGAAGAGCTCAGCGAGCCAAATGGAGGGGAGAAATTGGTCATTTGAGTGACCATCGGCAGATACTAGCGGTTATAAACCATACTATGCATGCGGAGATGATCAAACTTAGTCTAGGCGACCGTCCTAAGCAGCGATATGGATACGAATACCTCTCGGCTAGGCAAAATTGCACCTGTCGTCCAATTTCCCTGTGGCGGGAGATCCCAATACGCGTTTGTAGGCGTGTTTACTATCGCTAAACTTATCTGGAACCTCCTCACCGTTTTATGTTAAGATTTGGATAACCAACATTCTGAATAACAGAGATTGATTTTGCAGCGAAGCGCACCTCAGAGTGGTGCCGACAATATTCATCTGAGCTAGATCTAACACACGATAATCTATCTGTAATAGCCAGTTGTCACGCATACATAACTATATGTGATGTTGTCAAAGTGACTTCAGGATACTGAGACTGAACATGTGAGCACCAAAAATATTGAGTACAGTGTTTAAAAATCAAAATTAGTATAGCACGCGATACATATAATACATTTAGCTTTGATTTATAAATGTTCTTTAATCCGCCGCAGCGCAGCGGAGGCGGCCAGCCCACACTACGCCAGCCGACCATGCCCTAGCGTCCGCGGAGCGGGCACCCAGAGCGCTAGTCCTAAACTATCAATGCTAGCACGGTGTCCCGTCACACGAAACGATCAGATTTTTGAGCCTTCCCATTGGCTGCCGAGCGAAGCGAAGGCGGCTTTGATTGGTTAAAACTAAATTATGTAGCTTACATCAGTAAATTTATGTGGTTCACAGAGCACATATGGAGAGGCTAATCCATTATCCGATGGCGGCATCGTTTAAATATTACGAAGTATTTACTATTTTAATAATACTAATACATGTTTCTTTTAATATTTGAGTGCTAAACAGACAGAGCTACTTATTCTCAAATAAAATAGCCCCTAAAGGCGCTTCCTATGCTGCAAGGTGCTTAGCGTACGCGTAGGAATGCGTGCCGTTTAATATACGTAAAAGTATGTTATTAATAGTTTCTGCAAGTTTCAATGACTAAAATAATAACTATAACTGTTTTGTTGTAGAAATATTAATTATTATCTGAGAGTGAGGTAACTGACTGAACTGCCAACTCATAGTACATGTACAACAGAAGCTGGCCGTAAGAACAACGCTTTGTTAATAAGCGCTGTCACTTGATCCATAAAGAAAGATACTGTAGTTTTAGATTGAACAAAATGAACTCATAATATGAGTACAGCAGTAACACATATTATGTGTTACTGCTGTAAACCATTGTTTTCTACGAGTTGTTTAGACAGCAAAAATCCGATACTACTTAACTGGCGGACGTGTCGTCGACAGGGCGTAGGATACGATTCTAAATGGATTGGCAAGACAACAACAAAACACGAGAGGTATGAATTAAAGTTGGTTAAGTAGACCCCATAAAGAAACGTTTATAAACTTGGAGCCTATACGACGTCCAATAATCCTGGAATAATCGTTAAATTATCAAATAGAAAACACTACCGTCAACAGCAACAGCAGCAAGGCGTCTTGCGACACAACATCCAAATGCTTCAATCATAACTGGCACAGATTTGAGTGCTAATTTTGAATCAGCACAAAATGAACGCTACATACATTAAAAAGAGGACAATTTGAATATTTTTAGCCTTCATTGAGCTTGATATGAGAAGTGAACAATCTTTAGTTACTTGCAAGCTGAAATAGGCAGTACAAGCAGATAAGTAGTGCAGGCTGGACAGGCCATTACTATCGTTTGTGCTGATGTGAGCTAAGCTTCATAGCGGCTCAGAAATGGCCCGAACTATCGAGCACAACGCTAAACGAAACATATTGTGAAGCGTTTGTATAAATGTTATTTGAAGTGCAGGTGGTTTTGGGTGGAAGATGAAGATACAGTGATAACCAGCAATAAAAAGGGACTGCATTAATAATCTCGAAACTAAGATATCTAATTACATGTAGTGGAAAAAAGACATCGCCTAACCTGATCACTATAACCAGGGACCAAAATTTCTTATGTACAAGTACACAAAAGTAATTTCGCGATTTTCATCCACTGACGTTGATACTGCTTTTCAATTTCAAAGCTTTAAGAACTGCTTTGGTCTGATCCGACGAGAATTGCGGAAGACTCTTCTGGAAAGAAGGCGGCTGCGAAATGGGCTGGATGTCAAGACCAGATTTGTGTGGTGAAAGACCCGCCACTTAATCACTTGCTGCCAGTGTCATTTTCAAAGTAACCTCCGTTCAGCATGAGCACGTCGATTCTGCGCAACCTCATCTCATTCGCCGACGAGCCAAACGAGGAATGCTCCAGCGTTAGTGTCAAAGGCGACGCGACCTACTGCATCAAGGGGCCCGTGTGTGGTGCCACGGCAGGCGCATGTCCAGCTGAGGGAGACGCCGCGGTCAGTAACTGCGTCAAGTCATCTAGAAGCTTCGCCACTGGGTGCATCGCACCGGTAGATGCCCAGTGCGTGATCACCCCTCTTAACCATTGGGAGTGCGTTTTCCCAAACATCAGCAGCGCTACTACTCCGCCCACTTTGGAGACTCAAGCAACGCAGCAGCCGACAATCTCAACCAACAAGTTGGCTCTGTCCGCCTCGACTGAGTCTACCAGTACGCCCTCAGGGTCCGAGAACTTGGTGCAGGGGCCGAACACTGCTCTAAACATTGCTGTCGGTGTGTCCTGCTGCGTCCTTGCTCTCGTGGGACTCGTGTATGTCAAGAAGAGGCGTGACGCCAAGAAAGCACAAGAAGACGAGTACAAATTTTCACCCAGCGAAATATCCATCGTGATGGTATAATCTGCATGGTGTTTTTTATTCGCATTTATAGATCTGTCAACCTTTTTAATGCTGATAATTAAAAAAGTAATGATCATGATGGAGTTACCGCTATCCATCTGTTGAGTTTTTTAATTGGTGTCTGCCAGGACTCGTTCTTCATTCCATTTACTGTAAACATGTAGAGTTTACAGTTAATAATAGAAGTATTTGTGTCACTGAATTGATGCTTCGGGCCTCATTGTGGACTGGTAAAAGAACAGTCCTGATACAGTACGTAGTAAGACTTCGTATTCTTATTTTTTTAATTTGGATAAAAACCAACGCTCAGCGCTTACGTTTAAGCAACTACTACTCGTCGCACAAGTAGTACTAAAGTGAAAGCATTGTCCCCGGCAACAGCCCTGAAAGTATGGGGGCAGGGATGAAATTGGACTAAGCTTACAGTAAAAACAGCCTGATGTCCTGAAGCTAGCAAAATCCGAGCATTACTGAGACTGAGATCTCCAAATATGGGCGAATCTTACACATTCGAGTACAGTGTACCTTGGTATCGAAATAATACGGCAGTTTTTGACTGCTGCTATTAACTCATAATAAAACTTCTCCTAACTACGGTTGCTTAGTGTGATAGTAATATAAAAACTACGTTTGATGCATTTAATACCAAAGGAGTTGCTAGGACGCGCTTCGTCCTTACTTATACAAACCGGAGCTCGATACAACAGAGGCATCGTCATTCATGTACTCGGGGTCTTCATGATCTCACGAAAGGTTCCCTGGTGGCTCGTGCTCAGCGAACGAGACAACGGATAATAGGTGTTGGAACAACCCTCTTCAAGAACATGTACATCTACAACAAAATGCCCGACAGTTTGGCCAACAAAGCAATGGATTGTCGACGAAGTTTTCGAGTACATACAAGGTATTGGAGAAAACCGGGCAGTCCTTCAACAGTGGGCTCAAAGTTTACAGTATATGGCTGGAGACATCCAGAAATGGCGTGATAATCAGGATTACTGGAATACTCTATGACACAATGGAATAATATACCGGTAACACTAGAAAGAAGAAGGGTGCCGGTGGAATGTAAAAGTTTAGACCGGAAATATACTCTGGGGAGCTGACACGAGGGCAGCGACGCTGGATGAAAAACAGGGTATAAGAAGTCGTTAGATCAAAATTTAAGTGCACCAATACACCTCACCGAAAAACCAAAAGAACATTAACATGTACATCTGCCACTACATTTCACTGTATCATTGTATGTATTGTTTATAAAGAAGACCGCAACGCAATAACTTGGCAGCGAGGATCATTGGCAGTGTCGGTGACTCAGCAAATAAAGTTATTAACCCTAAAACGTTAAAGCTTTAAATGTTTTATTTACTTCAAGTTTTCCCATTTTTCATTGTGGGGCCAAACACGCATGCTCCAAAATTCTTGTGGTCGTTCAATCGAAGACGTATAGTGGTCGGACAGACGAAAGTCACTTTAGCGCACTTGGTCGTGACGGAATTTTATTCGCTAGTTTCTTGCTGTTGCGGAAAGGGATTGGTCCGCCTCTTTTGCACTATGCTCCCCTAGTCATGTTGCTCTTTATGAAGCTCAGCCTGCAAAACGCTTGTTGTACCATGTCACATACTGAGCGTCCGTCTCTGGCCTTTCATCTTGCGCCTGATGCAATAAACGTCCTCGATTGGTGCCTTGGGCGCATGAAGTTATTCAGACATTTGCCTCGTGCTGAACACGCGCCGGGGTCATTGTATCGCTGATCACACAGCGTCCTTCTTCGAAGCCGTCACCAATCAGTCAACATGGCTCCGCACCGCCAGCACTCCAGTCAGTTCCAGCTACAGCTCGACCTCATCAACGATAGCGAGAACAAGCCACGCACTATCGCCCAACAACTGCCTCCCTTGTCGGACGGATGCTCTCGACTCTACCTATGCCGTCACGGCCAGACAGGTGCGTGCTGAATTAGTGTTTGATGTTTGCGAAATATTTACCTGTGCTAACTTTCCATTCGCTTGTTATTTGTTCTTTAGACTACAACATGCAGCGCAAGCTTCAAGGCCGCGGTGTCAACATGCCACTGAACGCTGAGGGAGTGGAGCAAGCCAAGTACCTGGCCAAGGCCATGAAAGACGTGCCTTTAAGCGCTATTTACAGCAGCTCGTTGAAGCGTGCGTTCCAGACAGCAGACACGGTTGCCCAACTCCACCCGAAGATTGAGGTGCAGCCGTTCCAGGAGGTGGAGGAAATGAACTTTGGCCAGCTCGAAGGCCACTCGATGGAGATGCACGAAGACCAGATTCACACCATGTTCAAACGGTGGAAGCAGGGCGAGCACAACGCCGCGTGGCCTGGTGGTGAGAGCCCCATTGATGTGGTGAAACGCGGCGTTAAGAAGATCACCGAGCTAGTGAGCAACACGCCGCCTAAGGAGCAGGTTCTCATGGTCACGCACGGTCGCTTCAACAAGATTGTGCTGGCCCAAATGCTGCACGGCGAGTTGACTCACATGACTGAGATTGATCAGAACAACACGTGCGTCAACGTCATCGACTTCGACCACACAACGCAGACATATCGCGCCATGGCGCTCAACAACATGAACCACTTGCCTGGGCCACCCTCGGTGTAAAATTCGAGATAGTCTGTAGATAAAAAAAAATATGGCTCGAGGAGGAAAGGATACAGATACCAGTTGCGAGCGAGATCCCGACCGAGGCGTGAGGTTTATTGTATTATAATGTATCCGATTCCTGTGCTTCTTATCAAGCTTGTGTTGAAGTATCCAGAAGCAGACGATACTGTTTGTGGCTCTTAGGAGCATGCAGCTCCTGTAGTCTCCAAGTACCTGTAGCAGATGGTAGCTTGTGTTCATTGAATGAACAGAATGAACTTCATTCTTACCACAAACCGGTAAACGTAACATGAGGTTACAAGTACGGATAAGAACTCAGCGCCAGCTCTGCCACACTCGGGCAATTGATCTATAACACCCAGTATTTTGCGCAACAGAAATCTGATAAAGCTCACTTTTTCAATTCCACCGACGATACCACCACATTCCAAGACTTCAAGTTTGACAAACTATGCGCTTGTTTGGCCTCAGTCTGTGGGCGTGTGCATCACTAGCTTTCGAATCAGCAAGCTCTACCCCCCCCCCCCATGCTCAAGCCTTTGACGTCGTTGTGGTGGGCAGCGGTCCTGGAGGACTTGTTGCTGCTGAGTATCTTTCGCGTGACCCCAACGTGTCTGTGCTGATTCTCGAAGCCGGTCCCAAGTCTATGGCAGCAACTGGAGGAACCGATGCCCCCAAATACGCCAAAGACAGTGGACTCACTAAGTTCGACATTCCTGCCGAGTATGACCTCATCATGTACAACCCGGAGAACGAGGACTATCGCGTTGACTGGATCACGGATGCCTACATGTGGCTCGGCAAGACGGTCGGGGGATGTTTGTCCATTAACTTTGCAACCTACTTCCGTCCTCCTGATGTGTACACGAACCAGTCGCACTGGCCATTCTCAGCGTCGCAGATGAATGCCAAGATGGACGAGAACGAGGAAATGCACGGCCACACAGATGTGCCTTCCCTCGATGGAAAATGGTACTCTCAAGAGGGCTACTCCATTGTGTCAAAAGGTTTGTTATCCCTCGGTTATACCGAGAACACACTCAATACTCCAGCAACACGGAACAAACATTCGGCCACACTCCTTTCACTATCAGAGATGGCAAGCGCGACTCACCTGCAGCAGCTTTCTGGGGTCCGATGAGTACGCGAAACAACGTTCAACTCTTGACCGAAGCCAAGGTCGACTACTTGGTCCGCAATACAGACGGTACGGCCACTGGAGTGGTGTACAACGGTGGGTCTCAGGTCTTCGTAAGTGATCGAGGTGCTGTGTTGATGGCGGCAGGCGCTTTAGGTACACCCAAGGTGTTGATTCAAAGCGGTGTTGGTTCCAACACGCAGCTAGATCTCCTCGAACGCATTGGCGGCTACGTCGGTGTCACCCAGAATGCTGGACGCATTTCAAACGCCAACGTGGGGCGCAACTTGTTCGACGCCAATCTCATGTACGTCTCGTTCTCGCATCCGGACATGAAGTCGTTTGTCTTTGACAACCGACCGTATGAGGCCATCAGCCAGTACATGAACGAGAGCCACACGGGAGCTTGGGCCGATGCAGGCCCCACACTCGTCAGCTTCGAAAGTTACGAAGTCCAGGGCCGCACGTACGAGTTCCAGTCCAACGTACACACTCACGGCTTCGGTGAGCTTCACCAGCAAGACAACGCCTTCACGATAGCGATGTACGTGATCAACCCCGAGTCGCGTGCTCATTCTGGCTGCGACACCAATGGCAACTGGCGTGCGTATAACGAACGAGACGCATACTTCGGTACACCTCGCGACCTGGCAGCGATGCAGTCGTACGTCCAGAAAATGGTGCGGATGATGAAGGACAACGGCGCGACTTTCATTTCCGAAACCGGGTCGGATCCGGCAGCCGTGGCAGATTTTGTAGCATCCACAGGCAGCTACATCTCGTACTTCTTCGGCGGCACTTGCTACGCATCCCATGACGCCAGTGACATGGAACGGTGTGCCGACGAGAAGCTACGTGTCATAGGCTTGGACAACGTGTTCGTGGCTGACGCTAGTGCGCTGAAAGAAAGCACAGTCAACCCGTACGGCTTTGTCATGTACATCGGCCGTGAGGCTGCTGATCTCTACTGCAGATAAAGACTCCGACACGTGCTCTGCGCTGGAAGATAATGTAGACTTTGAGGGTGACGACATCGGCTCATCGTCCAGTTCGTCAGCTGCCGGATGCTGCTCGATCTGCTCCAATTCGAACGGCTGCGTCGCGTTTACTTGGACAGAGCACAGCGGAGGCACTTGCTGGCTGAAAAGCGGCAAAGGAACCATCAAAACCACGAGCGGCGCTGTGTCGGGCGTTCTCAAGTCTGCTACGAGCTGTGCTGCTCTGGAAGACAACGTCGTCGAGCCTCACGGTGTCACATTAAGTGCACAAACATCCGACAAGTGCTGCTCTGTGTGCAAAGCTACCGAAGGATGCAAGGCCTTCACTTGGAAAGATGAGGACGGAGGCACGTGCTGGCTCAAAGGAGACAAGGAGAGCACAACATAAGCAGCAACAGTAAATGGCAGCCACAATAGTACTACCTGTTAAGCAAAAGTCTTCTTGGTGTAACGCAGGGAGACTTGACTACTCCTTAACTATTTACCGGACCATCACAATGTCGTCAATCTTGAGGATCATGCGCACACACTCGGTAGCCAGCGAGATCTCGCTCGTGTTGACTAGCAGCGGCTGCAGCACGTTGAGCTCATACATGTCACTAGTGGCGCCCTTGCGCACGTTGATGCCCATGCTCGTGTGTCCCTGCGCATGCTTGGCACGCAGCTCCGTGACGATGCCGATGGGGTGCAGACCGGCGTTCTCAGCGAGTGTGTAGGGCACAATCTCCATCGCGTCGGCAAAGGCCTGCAGACAGTAACTCGCCGTGCCCTCCAGAGATCGACCGTACGCCGCCAGCTTCTGCGCCACCTGAATCTCAGGAGCTCCTCCGCCACAGATCAAGAAACGCTTCTTGACCAGCGAGCGGACTACACAGAGCGCGTCGTGCAGCGAGCGATCGGCCTCTTCCAGCACGAGTTTGTTGGAGCCACGCACGAGGATCGACATCGTCTTGCCCGGGTTGACGATCTCCGTGATCTTGACGACCTTGTGGCCGCCCACGGTCTCCTCCTGCACCAGTCCAGCCGTCCCCAGCTTCTCCGGAGTCAGGTACTCAATATTGGCCACTGGCAGACATCCCAGCGTCGTGGCAATGTGCTCAATGTCGTTACGTTCAATGTCCGTGACCACTCGGATGCCCATTTTGGCCAAAAAGTGCAGCGACAAGTCGTTGGTCGCGTCCCGTAGGATGCTCTTCTGGATCAGCAGCACATTGGCGCCAGACTTCTTCACCTTCTTGCACAGATTCAGAATGTACTTGCGTTCTTCACGCAGGATACGGTCCATAGCAGCGTAGTCGTTGATCACCACGTTGCTCTCCATGTCCGCCTTCGGGGCTGAGAGGCAGAACTGGATCAGCGCAATCTTGGCGTTCTCAATCGTCGTGGGGGCACTCCCCGCAGCAGTCTTGTCGAATCCCTTACTGAACACAAGTCCTTCCACCAGCTCCGAGTCGTCGATAGTGCCGCCTAGCTGCTTCACCACACGCACCGTGTTCAAGTCCACGTTGGTGGCGGTGGCGATGTCGATGACCTTAAGTACGGCGTCCACAGCGATGGGGGACAGGCGGTCTGCGTACTCGGAAATGACCTTGGACGACAGGGAAGTGTTCACACAGTTGATGAGCTCCTCACGGTTAGCAAGCTCCACAGGTTTGGCCATTTCGGTGAGGATCTCTTCGGCTTTAACAGCAGCAAGACCAAAGGCCTCCGAGATGTTGGTCGGGTGGATGCCCTTGAGCAATAGATCCTCACAGGCGCTGAGTAGGGCGCCGGCGATGACACAGACGCTGGTGGTGCCGTCTCCAGCCTCGATATCCTGCGACTTGGACAGGTCCACGAGCATCTTGGCTGTGGGGTGGTACACCTGCATCTGACTGAGGATCGTGGCGCCGTCGTTCGAGATGATCACTTCTCCGTTGCCCTGCTGGATCATCTTGTCCATGCCACGAGGACCCAGACTCGTGCGGATCGCATTAGCGATGGCTGGAAAATGAGGTAGAAATTGCGTTAGAAATTGAGTGAGCTGTTGGCAGCATCTTGGTGCAGTTGGACCGCAGCTGAATGCGCACACCTTTAGCAGCGATGATATTGGACATGCGCACGTCCTTCTCCTTCTGCTTGCCGCGGAGAGTTTCGCCCGTGGGGCGCGCAATCGTGGCGGGGGCGGCCATGGCGGATCTAACGCTGTGACTTTGCCTGGGAGCTGGAAGGCGTGTCCACACGATTCGCACACCATTTGATGGTGTGGTCACATCAAATAGATGGTGGTATCAAATGTCACTTCTGGAAAAACTGGGCTTTACCAGACCGGTATGCTCATGCGAGCTTCATACTGTGGGGAACATGCTAAAACAATCAATTTAACATACAATTGTAGAGAAGGGCATCTTAGCGTGCTGCCATACCGTCAAAATTCCAACCGCCCGACCAGGGTTCCAACCTGATACCGGTACGGTCTGCCAGTTTAAAATCGGACTTTGCCGTGACCCGCGGGCCGTCCCGCCGGAATACACAATAAAAAAAAAACCTTCTCTCTGAGGCCCCACAGCCATTCTATAAACCACGGCCACGGGCGCGCAGCGGTGAGGGCGGAGCGCAATTCTGCGGTCCTCCTGCGACCTCAAGGCCTCGGTTGCACCTCTACGCGCGCGGCATCACTGCCAGGGACTCACGCCACACTACTCCCGCCGTTGCCGTCCTAGTAGATGACTCATGTGATGTGAAATAACTTGTAAGGGCGGGCGGAATGCTGCTGGATGCAGCCGAAGACTATCGACAACCTACATCAAGGCCATAATACCTATTCAATATGGTTAGTTTTTTGCTGTTGCTTATTAAGAGTGAACATGTCGTTTCTAACTTGCTGTTACAGCTTTGTTTGTACTATAAGATGATGCGTTAGTGCGTAAAGAGGAAGCTGTTATCCATTGCCAAAAATTATACAGTTCAAAGTGTAAGGCGAGATCTGGTGTTGTCACTTAACTGTACTACGTGTACTACAGGTTCAGCGCTTCGGGAAGGGGGGGGGCTACGAATAAATTCTGGCAGCGCCGAAGGTGGTGTTTGATCGACGATGTCACCACGCTCAGCACGCTCCTGGAACTGGGTTATTTATATATATGTATATGCGTCAAGCTTCCCAGCCTTGTGCAGATTGCGAAAAGCTTTCAGTGCCGTAGCCGCTGCTGCTGCTGAGGACCCGTTCGTCTTTAAGAAGGGCCGTGTTTACTTGCGCTTTCTGACCAAGCGCTATCACCTCACTCTTGAACGCAGGATACGAAGCATCAAGTGAAAACCCATGGGGTAAGAAAAGCATCATGTAGCCTGCGGTGTGTCTAAGCTCGTACAGCATCGTTTTCTTCACAGAGCGCGAGGCATAAACGCGGGGCTCGGCCGTAGCCCATTCGCACCAGACTGCTGCAAGAGACTGCGAGCCCTTCTTCTTCGGACGAACAGTTTGGATCCCGATTTGTGGACATGCTGTGATACACGACCCGCAACAGGTTTGGCTGTAGCCGACGGCGAGTGCAACTTAGCCTCTACAGCTAACAGTCGTTCTTCTAGGCGCTTATTTGGCAGGATTAAAACTCTGATTTGCTCAGACTGGCGCTTCATGAGGCTTAACACCTCGCCAGGGTGAGAGTCGCTGACGCTGGGCTTGGTTATCGCTGATGGTGGCATGAAAGCACGGCGGATTGTGCTGCTCCATGCAAATACTTCCGCTTCCCCGATGGCCCGTGCTGACATGGCCGCCCGAATACGGGCAACTAGTGCTCCTTCGCATGAAAGCAGCAACATGTCGAGGTAGTGCATGGTGAGTGTGGCTGACAAGACCTCTGCAACGTCTTCGTTTAGGTTCATGGCAGGTTCTGCAAAGCCCAGGGAGCTCGTGAAAAGTAGGCCATGCAGTGCTTGGGCGCGGGACAGCACATGCGGCTCCAATATACGCAATGAATAAGGTAAAAGCCTTCTTTTGGTTTCCATCCGCTCAGGACACGCGCAGCTTGCTGATCAGCCTGCGTTGTACCCAACAAGTACCCAAACGCCTTATTAACACGGTCAAGCTGCCAACCACCCCGCTCTATAATCCAGTTTTCTGCCAGATTTTCATCGTTGGCGTGCATGGCAGCTCCTCGACGAAAAGAGTGGGAGGTAAGTCCTTGTGTGAGTTTACCTGCTTCTGATTTGCAATGTTCTTGACTCTAACCAATAATGATCACGTACGCTTGTGTACCAGGAACCGATCTGGTTCCTGGCGACTGCTGTAGGTTATGTCTTGTACTGGTAAACTGAGGAAATAGACGTTTGCTTGGCGCATTCTGTATGGTTCGAGCAGCAGCTAAACCGAATAGTGGATAGGTTAAAAAAAACTTGTCGGGTCCTTACACAAGGATACACCCTATAGACAATCTGTTTTAATCCGCTTAATGCGTAGGAAGAGTACGCCACCTAAATATTGCAAGGATCCAGTTGGCGTAATTGTCAATATAATGATAAATATAATGATCAATGAGCTTACCAGGTAAAATCGAGAGCTAGTTTTTCTCAGGTTGCTCTGCGTCCGAGCTACGTCCGTATACATATCACAGCATCACAACCAGAGCTGCATTTGGATAGATACCCTCAGCAGATTCAGACGTATAAAGCAGGCGAACGATATTTCAAGATCTTGCTTGGAACACGATGGAGCTTTCTTTTCAAAAGCCCCATCCTCGCGACTGGTACAGTACTTACCAAGCTCAGACAGAATCTTCTACAGCTGGGGCTTTACGGGTGACGGCGATCAACTCGTTCAACACGTTTCTTTCTTCAGAAAATATCACACTAGAGCATGTTCAACAGCTTATCGACGCTGACAAGACCGGTAGGGTACTTCGAATTGTACTAGATAAACATGCGTATTATCTAGCTAGATCGACAGACAAAGCTCGATCTACCAATACATGTCTAGACTATTTCGGAAACGTAAAGAGCTGGTTGATAGATAAATACCCACAACAAGGGGGGGCAGTAAAGCCCCAGCTGTAGAAGATTCTGTCTGGGCTTGGTAAGTACTCTTACCAATCGCTGTATGGATATTTGTATAGAGTACAACATATTCTGAAAAAATTCCAACTAAATATGGTCGGATTGGTAGGAATGTGGTGGTTACTTTTAAGGACTTCGTCATTGGATAAAATCACAATTTTGCAATCTAATTGGTGGATTGACTGAGTACATTTTTCCATGGACGAGACATGGTTGGAATCTTGCGGATATTATACCATATATAACATATCAAAGTTCCAGCCAGATATTTTTCAACAGGTGCTAAATTTACCGCTCCCTAACCTTGTAGCCTGTCGGTCTGTCTGTCCGTCCGTCTGTCAATCCGTCCGTCGCACTCCC